GCTAAATGTTTAATTACATTGTTTGGAGGTAACAAACTTTGTAACTGCTTTTGACACGACCGGTTTGTTGTTTAAAATGTAAAATAAAACGTTGCTTGTGCCGCGTGCAAACAATAGATTTAGCCTCTTTCAGAGAGCTAATTCTGTAAGTAAGAGACCACAGTGTGAGTAGAGACACAGCTTGTGTTTCCATGTCTACATTACACTCAGCTGGAAAGCCGAACAGGACAAGCTGTGGTTAGAGTTACACACTTCTTTGTCAGATGTCGGTTTGTTAAAGGAGCTCAGTGTCGCTCATTTGATAGGAACAACCACCGCTGAAAATTTAATTCACGTGTTTTCTGTGTTTGGGGGAGGGCGGGGGACTTTGATTGTAGCTTCTGAATAAATACAAATGAGCTGCAGAGGCTACGTGGGGTTGTTGTACCATTTATTCAGGGACTTGTTGCTGTTGTTGTTGGCTGGTGTTGTACTGTGCCGGCTTGTTGACAGCTGATATTTCCTGCACATTTCTTGGCTCAGAAGCTATAATAAGCGTGCAGTGTGCCGTTTCTGCATTAAAGCAGCTGAAGCTGTCGAACTGTAGCATGTGGAGCACTCATACACGTCTGTAGTGCAGTCTTATTGATTTCTGCGCGCTCGCTTTGTCCTTGAGATGAACGCTTTGAATGGGGAGCTTTATTTAAGATGTGAGAAACATGACTGTTTCAGCGATTCCGCTTTAGGTAACATGTCACAGCTAAAATTACAATCTAGGTCAGTGATCCCATTAGCCTTTCAGGAGTGGGACAGTTTTCTTTTTGCTTCTATAATGAGAAATCCCAAATTAAATGGAGAGTAGCTGGCAAACTGCCGAGTCATGATGTATGCCTCCAGAGTGTCCGCAAAATTATGACCATATGATTTGTCATAAAGTTTAAGACAGACTGATTTGCAAATCATATAAGCCCTATATAAATGATTAAAAGTGCGAGGGCAAAGTAATAGATGCTGAAAGGGAGGCATATAATTGTTTTTGAAAAATACACCCACATTTTTAATGCTAGCTACACATTTTAAAAAGGTTAGGATCAGGTTTTTCTCTGTTTCTAACAACACACTCTTTCAATGTTTGGGGATCGAGGAGACCAGCTGCTGCAGTTTTGTAAATCAAATGCTTCTTGCTGCTTCTTGTTGTCTTTTTTTTTTTCCTATTAATCCAATGTTTTCAATAGGCGACAGGTCTGAACTGCAGACAGGCCAGTTTTTCACCCTGACTCTCTTGCAACAGAGCCGTGCTGTGTACTCTGCGCAGAATGGGGTCTGGCATTGTCTTACACAAATAAATAAGGCCTTTCCTGACAGCAAGACAACAAGTCGAACGGTCCCTCTCCTCTTTAGCCTGGTTAGAGCAGCGCGCATGAATTCAAGCATGAATTTCAAATTTGATACATAAGAACACAGACAGCTTTCCACTTCACCTCAGTCCATCTTACACGAGCAGAGGAGGCAGCAGCATTTCTGTAACATGTTTCTTTCTTTGCCCGTCAGTTTTGTTTTTCAGTGTTGTCCTTTGTGTGTAGGGATTTCTTCAGATACAATGTTTACTAACATTATGTGCTGCAAATGATGAATTATTCTAAAAATAGTCATCTAATTTTCTTTAAAATCTTTTTACTCCTATTCAGTTCAATTTAGTTTTATTTATATGTTGCCAAATCACAACAACGGTCACCTCAAGGCACTTTATATCATAAGGTAAAGACCCTACAATAATACAGAGAACCCCCTATGAGCAAGCACTTGGCAACAGTGGGAAGGAAAAACCTCCTTTTTACAGGAAGAAACTTCCAGCAGAATCAGGCTCAGGGAGGGGCGGCCATCTGGCATGACCAGTTCGGGGGATGGGGACAGGACAAAAGACATGCTGTGGAGCCAGGCATCAATAATAACTAATGATTAAATGCAGAGTGATGTATAAACACATTAACAGCGCATTAAAAGAGGTGAGTGATGAAGATACACTTAATGCATCATGGGAATCCACCAGCAGCCCAGACCTATTGTAGCATAACTAAGGTATCACTCAGGGTCACCTGATTCATCCCTAACTATACGCTTCATCAGTAATTAAAGTTCTAAGGCTAATCTTAGAAGAAGAGAGGGTTTCTGTCTCCTGAATCCAAACTGGGAGCTGGTTCCACAGAACTGGGCCCTGAAAGCTGAAAGCTCTGCCTCCCATTCTACTTTTATCCTAGGGACCACAAGTGAGCCAGTGGTCTGAGAGTAAGGTGCTTTATTGGGATGATACATTAATATGAGGTGTTTAAGATAAAATGGGGCCTGATTATTCAAGACCATGTATGGGAAGAGAAGGACTTTAAATTCAATTCCAGATTTAACTGGGAGCCAAGCCAAGCGAGAACTCAAAAGGGTTTTTTGATGGCTCCACCTCTCGAGTTATATCACTGACAGGTTTAAGATGACCTGACTGCTTGTGAGATGTTGCCACTGCAAAATGTGCATTTATGAACAATAGAAACTCAACGACATAGTTGCAGACCACATAAAGTTACAGAGCGGCATCACCGAGTGCTTCTGAATGGCACAGAGAGTAAAACTCGCTAATGCTCTGTCGACTCAGTAACTGCAGTGTTTCAGCTGTTCTCTCACATTAAGATCAGCACAAAAACTCTGCAGCGAGCATCATGACTGTTTTTTTAACTATACATTTTCTGTGACTTACGACATAACCTGAAACGAATCATTCCATTAAATATCTGGGTTATTTTTTGATTTTCATTTCTTACCATTGAGTAAGCAAACAAATACTTCAGTATTATATAACACATTAATAGAACAAATTGTGAAGATGTTCCTCTTCCTTTAATAATTCTTGTACATTTCTGAGCTGAAAGATGAACAGAACTGTGCAGGATGTTGTTTCAGAGGGCTGTAAGCAAAATCATTGTACTGTATATCATAGTTAAGCCTGAGAAGTCAGTGGACACCCCATAATTTATTACCGAGTACATTAGGGAGGTTTCTGACGACACGTAATAGTGCAGTTTTTCTTTTCCTTTTTCCCCTTCATAAAGGCGTCTGCTCTCATGGCAAAAAAAAAAAAAGCTGCCAGGAAACCTCGATTGGATTTGCTGACAACAAGGTTTTGTGAAAAATCTACTGCCACTTGTGACAGCTTGTACAGGCGGAGGACCTTGATGTGATTGAGTGGATAGAGCGGGCGCATTAGAGAAGGGATACCAGTGCGAGGTGTCAGAGAGAGGAATACAGTTTGGAGCGCTTTTTATCTACAAGCCTCACAATACAAAGTAACAGGTATAAAATTGAGATCGCCTGTTTACAACCTTTAGCGTGAGAAGTGGAGACCGCGAAGGAGCTGATATTGGTAGTCGTGTGAGGACACGAGTTGAAGATAGCTGTAGAAAGTGATAAAGAGGAGTGAAGGGACATCAGCAGGAGTGACCATGTGAGAAAGCTCCTGCGTATATATGACAGAGGACGGGGTGGAGAAGAGCGATGGGAGGTGTTGAAATCCACTCACACTAAAGTCCCCAGTGAGACCGCCAGCCTTCTGGTCAGGGTGGCCAGGCGATCAGCACCTAATGCTAATGTGGAGGTGGCAGATGTTCTCATTAGTATACTGCTTAGAAGTTGAAAATGCTTACTGCACACCGCTAATGTATTGCCTGATGTAATAATATTTTATTTTAATGTATTTTAATGAAGAAGTCAAAATCTTCAGTCATCTTCAGAACAATTTATTCTATAGGCACTAAGATGCTTTACACTAAGGATTGTCATTTATTCCAGAAATTTCAATAATTTATTGTATGCAGAAGCTGTTTTATACAGCATTGATGAGTCTGCCGTTTCCTGGCTTTCTTTTTCTTTTTACATTATTTAGTTTTCACGTCAAAGTAGCTTTAAAAAGTCCATACTGCCCTGACAATCTTTAAATGTCTCGGTTTGGTTGAAAAGGTAAAACCTTAAAGAAAACTGGTTTACAATCATAACATCATAACAAAATAGTCCAAACATCTGAAGTCTTTGGACTATTTTGTTTTTTAAAGTTGATGCTGAAATAACTGTTTATTGTACCAACAGTTAAGTTGTCCACTGCCACAGTGGACTTTAAATCAAGCAATTGAGATGTGGGTGAAGTGCAGACTTTCAGATTTAAATTGATGGCTGTAACAAAAGTATTGCATTAACTGTTTAAGAATTGCAGTCGTTTTTATAAGTAGTCCCATTTTCAGATGCTTTCAGATCAAAGAAAATAAACACACAATTCCTCTCTGAACCCAAGCTCATTTAAGATGGACTGGGGTGAAAACTAACTCTGCTGTGGTCAGAACAACCAAAGGTTTCCACATTTTCATACGCAGGTTTTAGAGGAACATATTGCCATCTTTCTCAGAGGTTTCCAGTGTTTTACACACATCGCAACAGTGAGTCTGTGTTGAAGTCAAACAGCTGTGCAGCTGAGATCCCACATCAAGCAAAAATGGGGAAATGTTTGACTTTCAAAGCTTTAGTTCTCAAATGCTTTAAGATTGTTGTTAAAAGGGGGGGTGATGCAACACAGTGGTAAACAGGAAATGGGAAAAATAGCAACAAATGTTCCTTAAGGCATTAAAACCTACACACCTGGTGTGGTGCGCTCACAAACACAGATATGACATTAAAGCCATGCTGAGGTCATTAGATGTTGTATATATCTGTAAATATCTGAAAGCTTGTAACATCCTCCCCTTGTCATGAAATCTTTTCCTTTTTCTTTGGCTACACTTCCTTCATATGTCGTTCTGAGCACAGTTTCTTTTTTTCTTTTTTTTAAATGTAATTTAATGGCTTGAGGTGATTTGCTGTTTACTCTTTAATGGGTTTAATGATTTCCTGTAGTGTGCTGTGTCAACATGATGAAAATTTCAGCTGTTTCCTTTTGTTTGATTGCTTTTTCTACCCTTCATCACCCTCATGGTGCCCTCTACTTGCAGCTATTTATGGTGGACAATGCAGCTGATGACTGGAGGATAGCCATGACATATGAGCGCATCTTCTTCATCTGCCTGGAGATCCTGGTGTGCGCCATACACCCCATCCCAGGCAACTACACCTTCACCTGGACGGCACGCTTGGCCTACTCCTACGTGGCATCCAAGACGGATGCAGATGTGGACATCATCCTGTCCATCCCCATGTTCCTGCGCCTGTACCTCATCGCTCGCGTCATGCTGCTGCACAGCAAGCTCTTCACCGATGCCTCGTCCCGCAGCATTGGTGCACTCAACAAGATTAACTTTAACACGCGATTTGTGATGAAGACTCTCATGACCATCTGTCCCGGCACTGTGCTGCTGGTCTTCACCATCTCGCTATGGATAATCGCTGCATGGACAGTGAGAGCCTGCGAGAGGTGCCTGGATCAGTTTTCTCATGCTATGCCACGCTGCTCAGCATGAAACATAGATAAGGCTTAAAAATAGATAGAATACTCACTCTCTGTCTGAGCATCAAGATAGAAGGATTAACACAAGCTGTAAGAAAAGATTATGAAACTGCAGAGACCTGAAACGTTGGATTTTAGGCATTACAGTGGCTAAAACCTCTTTTTTTTAAAGAAGAAATAAGTAGCAGTCGTGAGCATCAGTTTGTTCAGGTGCATGAAGGTGTGTCAGTCTGATACATTTATTATTCATTACAGGTACCATGATAACCAGGACATAACCAGCAACTTTCTTGGAGCCATGTGGTTGATCTCAATCACGTTTCTTACCATTGGTTATGGGGATATGGTCCCACATACGTACTGTGGGAAAGGAGTCTGCCTCCTGACTGGCATTATGGTGAGATTATGATGCTTGGTTTGTTTTGTTTTTTTATCAGCTTGTGAAACTATTGAAAGACTCTTATTAATTATGTAAAAGCAGCCGATCTGCTGCTAATTTATCATGACTGAAAAATATTGACAAGTAAAGGAACGCTGTATATTTTGTCTGGCTCCCCAGGGCGCTGGCTGCACTGCCTTGGTGGTCGCTGTGGTGGCAAAGAAACTGGAATTAACCAAAGCTGAAAAACATGTTCACAATTTTATGATGGACACCCAGCTAACAAAAAGAGTAAGTGAAAGCTCTGCAAGGTGTCATAGATGCTTTATTTCTTTACAGTCTTAACCAATTTTGTTTTTGCACCATAAGGTGAAAAACACAGCTGCGAACGTTCTCAGGGAGACGTGGCTCATCTACAAGAACACTAAACTGGTGAGGAAGATGGACCACGCCAGAGTCAGGAAGCACCAGAGAAAATTTCTCCAAGCCATTCACCAGTAGGTGCCGTGCTCTTAACCCTGACCTCGCCACTTTTCTCCAGCAATTTCATTCACCAGAGCAACACAAACCTGAAATCTGAATTGTTTGACACCTGTAGCAAAGCTTTGTGCTCATAGATTTGGAGGATCTTGTATTTTTATAACCATGCTTTGACTTGACTGATTTCACAACTTCCTCTGCTGATGTTTGAATGTTATATATGTATATATACACAATGAATCATTGGAGATTCCTGTAAAGCATTTACCCGTTTTTAAAAAGGCATAAACTAGCATCATGAAAAAGAAACTCTGTGTAAAGTTCATTTTACCTCAAAATATGCAGGTTTTACAGAATTCACAGGAGTATGATATCGATTTCTCCACCTTTTTGCTGTCAGGTTGACTCTTGTGTGTCTTCTTCGCTGTGAGTCAGATGTCAGGCTGACCTCAGGGCTGACACATTTCGGTTTCTACTCCTCTAGCGCTTGCTCAGACATTCACCTGTCAGCTAGTGTTTTAGTGGGTCCCCAAGGACCCCCAAAGTGCTATCTCACTCCAAAACAGTATTGATTTTAACCTCACCTCACTGTTGTTTTCCTTCAGCTTACAGTGCTTACCAGCACAGCCACACTGAGGCTTCTTTCATTAACTGGCAATCACCTCGGCGCTTTATTAGAATAAATAATAGCAAATACGCTGGTATATTGTTCATACTCAAGTAAAAATGTCCTTTGTTTGTATGTTTGTTTTGCTTTCTGTGGTTTTATTCACACACACATATATATATGAGTCTTCGTGGTCTACTATGTGCAACTTTGCTTTGCTCATGAATCTTTTGGACACACATTTAAGTTTTAACGGCATTCGGATGTTTATTGGGAAGGTAGGGAAACACAAATATACACAAACTGTCTGCTGCTGCTGCAACCCACATCCAGACTTGCAGTTTAATAGCTTTCTTTCATTGTTGCTGCTTTTCGAGTCATTATGCCCTTGCTGTTGGGTTCAGGTGATTCGCGGCATTGATGACGGCTTCTCATGTCCACCTCCTGTTCTCTTGGACAGCCTAATAATGGAAATGGCTCAGAGCTAAAGTGCAATCTATAAAGAACCAGATTCAGTTGGGAAAAGTCACGTTGCTCTGTGTGCTTGGAACGACCACTCAGCGTGGTATCAACATCTCCCGGTCACATTCTTTGTGTTAGAGAGATTCAGTCGGGTTATGAGGCAGAGTGTTCACGGGGTTTGTGTGGGAGAGTTTTAAGTAGGGCCTGTAGCCTAATCGCAGGGTGTGACAGACAAACTCTGGCGTGCAATTAATATAGAATAGGAAGTGGATTAACAAGTGGAGGCTTTTAATAGGCCTACAGCAATCTTTGACTTCCTCTACTGGTCAAAGTTGTAAGACAGTGAGAAAACTTTGCTCACACATCCTTGAGGCGACTTTTGTTGTGATTTGGCGCTATATAAATAAAATTGAATTGAATTGAATTGAATTAGTTGGAGGGGGTAAAAGCTGTTGTTAAACAGACACTTCTGGTTTGCCGGCGTTAACAGGAAGATTGCTTTTATTCACTGTCTTTCTGATAGGACCAGAAAAGGCTAAATTAGATTCAGAGAACAAAAACAGCTGCAGCCACCAGAAACGGTCCACGCAGGGTGAAATAACGAACTGGTTTCAAGATGAGGGAAATCAGGAGAAGCGGTGGCTGCTCTTCACAGGTGACAGTGTAGCGATGAGGGTTTCAGCAGCCAGACGTGAGCAAACAGAGTTTGCCATCTGACTATGTTTATCTGATATTGTAATAATTCATTTGTCTACTTCATGTTTCCTTTTTGTTCCTGTTTTGTTTTTGTTTTTCCTGTTTGTGTCGACACAATGCAATAGAGCTCGAAAGTAAGTCTTCGCCTCTCATGTAGATACAGACCTGTTGTGTGCATGCTAACGAGAGCTTGTCCTTGAACCCAATAACTACTAAAAAAAAAAAAAAAATTACACTCCCTCATTTGATAAGTGAAATTCATCCCTCAAAAATCTTTGCTTCACACAACCCAGTCACACCTGCTAAAAGTGTGTTTTTCTTAGTTGGCATGTCAGTTTGACGAAACACACAGCATCACATTTTTCTTTGTCTGATTTAAATCACCGGTACAGGCACCTTGTTAGTGAACAGACATGTGCTGCACATTGTATACACACCCACAGATGCAGTTTAAGTGAATTTCAATTATCAATGATGGAGGGTGTTTTTCTTTCCATTTCTGCATGGATGTGATGAGACTTTTGATCTTTAATCAGAAAGCAACTGATTAAACTCCAATCAACTGTGCTTTCACCTACCGAAGGATGACGACCAGAGTGGCATTAGCCTGCAGACGTGTACGTTCTGTGATACCCCAAAAAGTCATGCGATACGCCCAAGCGGCCACGCTCGCACAGATCAGGGCTCAGGGTCATCTTTCGGCAAGTGGAACCATTGTTACGCCTGTTACGACATTTGCAGCTACATTTCCTCCATTTCCCTGTTGGATGACACAGTAGCAGAGATGCCAGTCCATTGTTGTTGTCGTGGCTGGTAAACAGCATAATAGCAACGACATGCAGCTGCCATGCAAGAAGAGTTTGGAGACACAACAACACTGAGGTCATTTGGATGACACGTGCTAGAGGCACGGTATCACACAAGTGCTAGCCAAATGTCCTGCAGAATGTTTTAGGCCATAACGGCAGTGAAATCAAATGGCGTGTCTCCCTTTGGGGAGGACGTCTTTTTCCATGCGCAAGGCTGAAGGAGGAACCATAGTGGGGACACAAAAAAAAAAAGCTGGACAGTGAGCACTTGTTAGCTCAGAGATCAGCGAATTGAACAAAGAGGGAAGTGACCTAAGAGGAAGGTCAGGGTAAAGCCTTGAAGAAATCCCGTTTGTGCTCGAGAGGCTGCAACTGTGACCAACAGTGTGAATGGTCAGCAGGGACAAGGGCGACGGGGGGGTAAAAAAAGAAGACGTCAGACCCATCCATTACTTTGAAGAATAATTTGCATTTCTTTTCACCATGAGTTTAATGGAGGTCATGACAAATAAAGCAACTTGAGAGGGTAAAAAATGTGGAGCGGCACTAACTGAGATTGAAACGCTTAGCATAGCCGTTTTCCCCCGATGAACACCAACCGCATATAAAGTGCCCGTTCACAAAGGGAAGTGCCCATGAGCAGTGACTGATTGTGGAAAACATACTTTGAATATAAAATAGAAGGTCAGCAGGCTTTCTCGCCCTCACCTCAACCTGCCCTCTGACAGCTATTGGTCATCCAATTGTGAAATGTATATTTCTAACAGGTCTCATGTCAACTACAAAACCATGTAACCCCGAACACCTATTATCTTCTGTAATTTAGAGCAGACTACTGCTCTTTTCTTTATTTGTTTCATTATAGCTAGAAGAATATAAGAGTGATGTTTTGAAATTTGTTCTGCATTTGTCTGAGAGTCTTCTTTGTATGAAGCATTATGGGGATAAGGTGGCAGGACATTTTTGCCCCATGCCTGAAGTTTTCTTTAGTGGCTTCTGTGGCACTCTCTGTTGGTCTTCGCTGCACATTTGGGAGTTTCTCGACGAAATATCCGTCTCCCTCAAAGACTCTTGAATTTTTTCGTCTTCAGCAATCTTAAAATTTGACCCTCAATCATCACCTAAGAGTCAGACTGTATTAACGGTGTATTATTATTTTTAAGCGATTCAGGAGGAAGGAAAAAATCCCTCTTTAATATGTTGACGCCACATGTGGCTAATACTCTACAATAGTGCACATTTTGCTGTTTTAAGTCCCCTGAGAAGAAGAGTTTTTAAAAAAAAGGTGCTTCAGTAGCACAATTAAACAGGAGCTGTAAATTATTTAAGCACATTTTATAAAGTAGGCAATTTTCAGTCTTTGCAGGTAGGATTTTTGGGTGATAGAAAAATTAGCGTTTTGCAGGGTTTTTTAGCCCACAAGAGAGTTTCTGGAAAAATCTTTTCATTTCCTGCCCGCAATTAACAATTAAAACGATTCTTTGTCACGATGACACGATTTTCTCTGTTCTAATGGGAATATTGGAAAGTCTCAAAAGGGAAGCAGGCTCATAGCTGCTGTCTAAAGGTTAATCTTTACCCTCTGTGTTAATACAAAACAGTGTGGGATGTTTTTGGCTCTCTGAGTGACTAAATAGGAATAGTAAAGAGAAAAAAGTTAACCAGAAGGGAACTTTACAGGAACAACAGCTGACCTTTTTACCCTTGCTGTTTTCTAATCTCATATGTCAAGAAGACATACAGTAGGACTTGATAAATGCTGTTTACACTGTACCCAGATATGACCCCCCACCCCCATTCCCTTGTGGTGTGTATTGGTTGAGTAGGACGCAGAGCTGATTTCATTCACCCCCCGTGGCAGCTCCCTCTCCTCCCCCCACCCTTTCTTTTCTCTGTGGTCTCCTTTCCACTTGCATGCAGCTCAACCAAGCAGACTGCCCCTCCAAACCCTGCATTCTCTACACATATCCCATGCATGTCCTGGGAGTGTTCTCCATGTGTATGCCTTGTGTGTGCACAAATTTACAACAAGAACAAAAAAGAAAAGAAAAAGAAAAAACATATCGACACTAATAGCGTTAATTTATTGGGTTCTGAATGGTCTTGTGTTCAGATTGAGAAGTGTTAAAATGGAGCAACGCAAGCTGAATGACCAAGCAAACTCACTAGTGGACCTTGCTAAGGTAAGCTAGACTAACAGTACACTGCTGCCTTTGTAGGTTTCCTCCCTCTGTGTGGCTGAATCCGATGCATGCTAGCTGACTAGCTGAATTAGTTGTGTTTTCTAATATAAATCAAAGTCTACAGGTGTCAAATAAACAGACAGGCTTTACAATCTGTGTGTTGGTTGTGGTTGACTGCGCTCACCTGGAATCCAATTTGCTTGGGGTATGAAATAATAACGCATCTTTATTTTGCAGTGTAAATCACTGTCCCCGGGACAAAGAAATTACTGAATGGGAGTAATGAGAACCCCGGCACAGTTTTTCCCTCTATGTATTCTCTGATGTTTGTCTCCAGATGCACTAAACAGAAGTCGACAAACCTTAGGGAAAGACCAGGCAGTGCGCCAGCCTGACACAGCAGAAACAGTAACCTGGAAAGGGAGACACACTGTGATCTGATGATTCAGCCAGAAATAAAGGCAGAGAAAAAGAGGAGAGAAAAGCAGAGCTTCTGACATTCAAAAGTACACCACAGTCAAACTGGATTCAGGCCAGCATGTCATGAAAGGTATTAGTTAATATTGCCTAATCACCTCATGCTGTAAAACAGCACGGAAACCTGCGACGTGACATTGAGTAAGGTGGCTTATGGCCAGTGTTGTACAAGTCTGCAGCCATAGGAGGGCAGTGTGGCTTCAGTCTTTTCACGCTCTCGGTGGAAAGACGGAGCTAAATAGAGCTGAACATATCTTTTTGGAAGATGCATTGCCACTGCAGTGCACAGTGAAATTCCTCAGATCACAACGTATCCCCTTATTTCATTATCTCCTCCAGAGTCACTTATACAGACCCTGTTTATTCATCCAGCGTGACATAAACGATGTAACATTGGTTGAATGCAGTTTCCTTCCACAGGATTTTTTTTTTCTTTTTCATTTTTTCCTGTACATATCCTTAAATTACAAAACCGCTCACTCAAGTGGCTTTAACAACCACCTCTGCCACTCTGCTCGCGCTTCTTCCCTCGTCTTATACAGAAATTGGTTTATGATGTCAATTTGCGGTTTTACATTACAGCCCAAGTAGATGTCTATTAACCACCTGTTTTCTTGCTCTCTATCATCCATTCCACCATATTTGAGCATGTTCTCCTTTCATTTCACGGTTTGAAACTTGGAGGCCTGTGCCTGGATGCAATCATTTCTTAATTACACTAAGAAGAAAAAGACCTTTATTGGATTAATTTGATATTAATAGCACAACCCTAACAACAGTTGTCAGGTTAAGTAGTGTCATGGCTTCCTTAGTCCTCACTGATTCACATAAACAAGCCATCCCATCATCCCCGCCTCAAATCAGAAGAGGACAAGGTAAGTGATGGATGACATCGCCTCTAAGCTGCCAGGGGTTATTAGTCCTGCACTGAATAGTACCTCAGAGACCGCCTTCCAGCAGCATCACCACCACTCCTCATCTGGAATGTGACATGAATTTCTTAGGCTGTTGCTGACTATTTTGGAAGCCCAAACCGTTTTAGAGAAGAGCAGTTATAGTTTTATAATTTTCATGGAGGTTTTTTTGTTTGTTTGTGTGTTTGTTTGTTTTTCTTAATAGCCTGTTATGAGATGGCTGATGCATCAGAAGAGCATCAAGTCAGCAGGCACCTTTCCTGTCTCCTCAAGGTCACAAACTAATGTACTCTGGTCTGCATGAAAACATAAGCTCCTGTAAACTGCCCAAATAAAATTCACCCTTCTAGATCAGTTTACGGCTGATACTGTGCTCCCATAATGTTCCTCTGACCTTATTTTGAAGGATGGTGAAGGTTTCTCTGGGTGAGACACCAGCCATTGCAGACAAGATGGATAAAATTGTAGTATCATAAAGCATTTACTTTGAGTTTGAGTCAATCTGAACTGTTGATTCAACTCAAGAAGCCTGCACAGGAACATCTCACCGTGCAGTATTACGACAGCGTGCAGCCTGACACATAAACTGAAACATTGGTGCAATCACCACCCTGTCATATTATGCAGGTTCTGTACAGGCTGATCTCGTGTGTGGCGTAAGGTGTATACACTCACTGGATACTTTATTAGATGCACCTTGCTAATACCAGGGTGGACCCTTTTTTGCCTTTATAACTGCATTAAGTCTTCGTGATACAGATTCAGCAAGAAGTTGGAAACATTCTCCTGAGAGATTTTGATCCATATTGACATGACAGCATCACACAGTTGCAAATGTGTTGGCTGCACATAATGGAAATCTCACATCCCACTACATCCCGAAGGTGCTCTATTGGATTAGGTTGTGATGACTGTGGAGGGCATTTGAGAACAATTTTGATGATTTGAGGGGCATGACGTGGTGCACTATCCTGCTGAAAGCAGCCATTAGCAGATGGGCACACTGTGGCCATAAAGGGCATAAAGAGATGGACAAGATCCGCAGCAATATTCAGTTAGGCTGTGGCATTTAAATATTCATTTGGTACTAGGTGGCCAAAGTGTATCAAGAAAATATCCCCCACACCATTACAAGTAAATTGTAGCTCCGTTTCCTGTTCTTAGCTGACAGAAGTGGCACCCAGTGTGGTCTTCTGCTGTAGCCCATCAATATGTTGTTGATTCAGAGATGCTCTTCTGCATACCTTAGCTGTAACGAGGAGTTGTTTGACTTCCCGTTGCCATCCTATCAACTCAAAGCAGTCTGGCCATTATCCTCTGACCTCTAGCACCACCTTTCTTTCACATTCTGATATTGACTTTGAACTTTGGCAGGCCGTCTTCACCATGTCAGTTGTGCCATGAGATTGGCTGATTAGAAGTCTGCATTAACAAGCAGTGGAGCAGGTGTACCTAACAAAGTGGCCGTTGAGTGTATCCATGTCATTACTGCACTCAGTCATGAACATTTTTGTTGTTATTCAAGAGAAACATGAAATCCTAAAATACTTTGAATGTGATGGTGAGTTTTTTCTTCCTTCTATCTTGATTTAGCAAGCAAATATTGTGCAATACAGTGAAAAAAGCCTGTAACATCTGAAACTGTGAGCTTTATAGAGCTGACTCAGACTGTGGAAGCATCATATTAGCTGAACCTTTATTGCACTTTTACACAGCATAGCGCCTTTGATGTTTATTCACAATTTCTGACATTGAAATTGCAGGCAGAATGTGAGTATTGTTTTCAGACAGACGTACAAATAGATATGCATCAGTTTATTATTTTAAAGTCATTCTTTACTTTGACTTTGATGTGTTTGAACAGTGAATCTTTAGCACTCGTAGCCTCTTGTAACCAGTTTTCTTTCTTCTCTTTTCAGAACTATCAGTGCATCTTGATGTGATGAAAATGCATTTTCCCTATTTTTTTAATGTATAATAAATTTTCTGGTGGTCCATCAAAAGTAACATCGGTTTGAAAATGTTAACAATAAGCTTGTTTTATCTCTCCTATTCCAGACTCAGAACATCATGTATGACATGGTATCAGACCTGAATGAGAGAGGGGAGGACATGGAGAAAAGGATTGCCCTGCTGGAGACGAAGCTGGAGACTCTACTGAGTAACTTGCAAGCTTTGCCCGGACTCATCAGCCAGGTCATCAGCCAGCAGCACAGGGACTTCCTGGAGGTGCAGCTCCAGCCTTATGACAAACACAGCCCTGAGCGCTCACAGTCAGTGTCCCGGCGGAGGTCGTCCTCCACGGCACCGCCCACCTCCTCCGAGAGCAGCTAGAGTCCAGGGGGAACGCCTCCACTGGAGACTTTTGCCATCATATGGCCAAGTTGCATTTATCGTAAAGCCTTATGGTTTCAATAAGTATTATCCAAATTCTGATGACAGAATCCAAGATACTGAGGACAATACATTTTAATGGATAACTTCATGCTGTTATTTATTTTTTATTACCTCAAAAGATGTTGTTATCCTTGCTCTGGTGACATAAAAATAATGGCGCTTCCCTCAGTAACAACTAAAAGGCCTATCGATGGGGCTGTGATAAGAACTCTTCTCCATCTCTATGCAGAGGTAGCCAGTTTTAGGTAGCAGGGTTACCAAGTGTGAAACTATTGCACTAAAATAGTGCTTCTCACAGACTTTGTGCTTCTGCTGGCTTGATTCAGTCTCTGTGTTCCTCAAAGGAAACCGAGAAACCACTGAGAAATCAGTCAGGGAGCATGGCAGTGATATTGAGGAAAAGTGCTGCGGTTTACGGACTGGAGTGAGCTGACAGCAGAAGCCAGATGAAAATCGCTCCTACACACTGTCACTCAGAGATAACTTTAAAAGCTTGAAATGAGGAAAACAGCATATATCTTTTAGGTTAGAAACAGCATCAACTATAATGGTTTTCCTTTGCAGAGTGCCCCTGTAGAATGACTATTTTTTGGGGCCACGTTGCAAATAATTTAATCCTCTAGTAAAAATGAATGCATCAGAACCTGTACTTGCACTTACTTTTTAATCAATGCACTTCAATGCTGACTAAGATATGATATAAAGATACGTTGCTCATTAAAAGAAGAACATTTTAAATGTTCGGGCATGGGTTTATTATTGTCAATTATCGAGTTGTGGCTAGTGTTAATGATTCAAATCGAAGCCCTATTTCTGTTTCTCACAAAGAAGCATCATCTTAGACCTGCAAAAGTCTTTAGAAACTTACTGAGTGATCATACATTTACTAATTAACCCCCAGTCTCGCTGTGTCTCACCTCCTGTCCTTTTTTTTCTTTTGCCTGTGCTCTTTATGCTTGCTGCCATCCCAGCTGGGCAACAACAAATGCTGAACAACAAAACCGTAACCATATCTACCTTTTAAAAAGTAAATGCCTATTTTTATATACTTTAATGAGGAGAAGCACACCTCTTCAAACTAAACAAACAACAACGTGGGATCGATTAAGAGGCAGATTCAGCATAACTAGCACACGGTAAGGATATCTCGGACTGGAGCTGAGATCCATAAAACTGTCTGTGAGACTTTTTCCTGAACATAATTAACAAACAGTGTGATTTAAAAACTGTGGCATTCTTCCCACTTCATCTATCGTTTACAGCATACGCTTTGGATGATACTGCTGGATGAGCTGGAAGAGCAGGGCTGGTAAATGTGATTGGCATTTACTACACTTGGAAATGTTACGGTCCACAATTGATTTAACATATATTCTGATTTTATTCATATATCCACTTTGGTCATTAATGCACTGTAGCTACATATGAACTGTGAGATCTCCTGATGTGTCCAACATACTCTTTTATGCATTATTACTCAGTATATGACCATAATGGTTGTGTATTCTTAAAACAGCCGTTCCAAGGTTCACAGAGCATCGCATGGGTCAGAGGAGATCCATCACAGGTCTTGTTCAACCAGCTCACTCATTAACCAATAAATCAATCAGAGAGTTGACAAAACACAGATGTTCCGTCCACAAACTTTAGCAGCATAGAAACCAATGACAGACTATACTGTATGCGACTTAAACGATAAAGAATTAAACAATAAAAATATACAATTTCACCGGTCTCCATCCTTTTTGTATGCATTTAAATGTGGGTTTGTATCTTATGTGCTTTTGTAGAAAGATGTTACACAGTTCAGTGCAATAACCAGTGTTGTAGACAATGCGCTCATCAGTATGTACGCTCCAGGTAAAGTGCACCACAGACTTTGTAGATCTTCTAAAGAAATAGGCTTGCTATGACATACATTAGGTTATTTGATATAGCCAGACTTGCCATTGTGTTGGCAAAAGTAAAGGGATAGTCCTTAAGTATATAACAAAGTTATAAGATTTTTCTTATTTAGAAGCAGAAAGATAGAATTGATTATTTCTTAAAAGTTAGCATGCAACAATTTTACAATTATACACCAGAAATCCAGTTACAGTATTTAAACGTCTACCTGAATAAATGTAATTATTATTAAACAAATGTGATATTATATTAATCTTACCGAAGTATCAGTTTGCAATACTTTGTGTGCATTCAGCTTTGACTTTATATGCAGTTATACACTCACTGGATGCTTTTTTGGTACACCTTTTCAACAGCTCATAAATAACACAAAAACCCATGTATTAAATATGATACATATCACATGGCAGGTAGATATGGTCAAGACAACCTGCTGAAGTTCACATGGAGGATCAGAATTGGGAAGAAAGGTGATTTAAGTGACTTTGAACATGGCGTGGTTGTTGGTGCTAGACGGGCTGATGGGTGACATGAAATATAAACAAATTTCCATAATATCTGTTATGTTATTTATGAGTCCTTCCAATTCAGTTTAAAAATAATCATATTTTATTGTCAAAGCAAGTCCTGGATTACTTGTTTATGCTCTGCCTGACTCTACTTAGATCTGCCGTGTTTGTGCCAACCAATGACAGTCATTGGTGCCAGCAAAGACGTTAAAGAGCGCCCTCTGGTGGACAAACTATGCAACATGAAAACTGATAACATTACCACTCATAACATAACTCATAATATCAGCAGTGCCGATATATCGGTCGGTCTTCAGTATGATCACAGTGTGTCCATCTTCTGATGGCTGTTTTCAGGAGGATTACACATGATGTCACAAAGTCCAGATCATCTCACACTGACGGATAATGAGTTGACTGTACTCAAATGGCCTGATCTCAATCCAATAGAGCACCTTTGGGATGTGGCAATGGGGGATTCTCATAAAGGGTTGTGCAGCTGCAAAATCTACAGCAACTGTGTGATCATTTCAACATAGACCAAAATCTCTGAGGAATGTTTCCGGCGTTTCGTTGAATCTGTGTCACGAAGAATTAAGGCTACTCAAAAGGCAAAGGGTATTCTAACCTCATATCACTAAGGTGTACTCAGTGAAGTGGCCCACGAGCTTATTTTTTCATCAAGATTTTCTTCTATAGAGGTGTTTTTTATTCATAACCTAATTTAGGAGACCATAATTTAGTTCATGTGTAGTTAAATAGTTTTGTTTTATACTGAAAAGCACTTCTAATATTTAACTTGTGGATTATTTCATTAAAAGGGCAAAAGAAATAAAAGCGCACGATCCAACCTGAGTAAATGTACTCGTGCAATATTTTAGGTACAGGTGTATAACTTTTGTATGAAGATATAAGACAACAGTGGTACATTCTCAGCTAGACATTGATTAAATCTGATGTTTTACAGCGTAAAAAAGTTATTTAAATCAATTTAGTGCGACAATGTCTCCTCACAACTCAGAAACATCCGAAACTTGAGAAAAGTACAAGCCAATGCTCATTTGCACAGGCACACAGGCCTCATTAATTCTTAATAAAATATTGTGTTTAATAGCTTTATTGTACGTTTTGACGTAATGATTTTTTTTCCTCGAAGAGCTAACTGGGATTTATCAAGCAAGTTAACTAAACGTTTTTTTTTTTTCTGATATCCAGTGAAGTAGAACAACCTTTCCAAATGAATAATGGAATTTTCCATTATCCATAGCCGTACTATAGCAGTACTTGTGTTTATACATTTTATTTGCAATTTTAGTTGTACTAAATTCCACCTTCCTGATTCGCAAATGAAGCATTTGCACTTATGGAAGCTCATGCTGCGTTTGCATTTTTTCTCAACAGTCATTGGTTTCTCTTTTTTGTTCAGTGAGCAACCTGTGAGTGAACGCGGGCTGTCATTGGTCAACGCACCGGGTACCATGACCCGCCTCTGTCCCGGTTCTCGCGAGATTTCCCTGGAAACACCGCACAACCGCGTTTGTGTGGTGTGCATGCTAAAGTACCCCAATAACTTTGCCAACTTCCATGTAAAACCTTTTCGGTTTCAATCGGTAACGTGAATTGTACACGGGGAACACCGTCACCATGAGTATACTCGCCAAAATAGCAGAAATTGAAAATGAGGTAAGATGGAAACAGCGGGCGGGCTAACCCGCTGACAGTCACGTTTAAGCTAGCCACAAACTGTTAGCATTAGCAAAAATATTACAGCCGGGCTTTGTTTTACTCTTAATATTTCTAACTCACATTTTTTCTTTTGGCCACAAAGTGCATATAAAGTTGCTTTACCCAATCAGTGAACTTGTGAATCCATTACTAATCATATAAGACAGTGTAACGGATGTGCTAGTGCAGGTTGATGGTGGTAACAAGTAACAAGTTCGCCTTTACATAACGTGTACACTTTAACTGTTCAATACAAGTTAACTTAAAACGACAGTGTTGTCTTCTAATCCACACGTATCCATATATTATGATCTTTGTATGGTGTGCCGTCTGTTGTTGTATTGAGAAAGCCTCAAATTTGAACATGAGAGTTCGTACCAGCAAGGGGTACTTGCTTTAAATTGCACTGAATGTTTTAGTTTAAGTTTTTAGTTTAGTTTAAACTTAACTTAACTTAACATTCAGAAATTATTTCATTTCAGCTCAAAACATTCAGCTATTAGCATTCACACTGCAGTTTCTTCAGAAAATGCCTTTTCTAGTTTTTAATGGAAACCTTACTGTATTATCAGAGGCAGTAAAAGGAAACCCTCCACGTTGCAGTGCAAAGACGACTTGTTTCAGTGTCTTCTTTAAGGGTTGCCAGAGCAGATCATTGCTTTCATCTGTCTTCTCTGTGGTCGTCCTCTTATCTCCCTGCCTGGCAGATCCATCTTGAACATCCTTTCCTTTGTTAGCCATCTCTCTCACTTTACCAGCCATAATTCCTACATTTAAAATCTTGCCTTCTTTTTTACTGCCTCCAAACATGCCTTCCCCCTACTATTATTTCTTAGTCTTTGGCCATTAGCAGCCACCCTGCTGGTCATTTGTACCGGTAGCAGTTCTTGTAAGTCACTAGTAACATTTCTAGCTAACGTGTTTGATTTGGCAAAGACTTTACACCGGATGCCCTCCCTGTCACAACCTACATTGTAATGTGCAGAGAAATACAGCTGTGTTGATCTTGGCCAGGACTTTTCCTGCCTATTAAAAATGTTTCCTCCCACATTAAATGCTTTAAACTGTATTATTTATCAAATGGACAGAAAAACTAAGATTATTAAATAAAATGAATAAATATCTGTTAATTGAGGTTTTTTAAAAAAAAACTCTTTGCCTTAACTATGATCATTCAAGTATGTAAGTTTGAGTTAAAGTTGCATGTCAAACTCTTGCATTTAAGTTGGCATAAAGTAAAAACTGTACAACATGAGAGAATGGGAGCAGGTTTATAGTGTTGTTACTGCACTGACATTACAGTAAATCCAGATGGACAAAATTAAACTTTGAATTGTAAAGGATAAGTCTATTCTGTTTTAAGTTTCACCATGACTGTACCTGAGTGCAGTCAGTAAAAACTGCTTACTTAATGCTTTTTAGAAAGTTCTCATGCAGACTGGTATTATTGTTCACTGTAGATGGCCAGGACGCAGAAGAACAAGGCCACAGCTCACCACTTGGGTCTGCTCAAAGCACGTCTTGCCAAACTCAGAAGGGAACTCATCACACCTAAAGGAGGCAGCGGTGGTGGGACAGGAGAAGGTGAAATCAGGATACTTGTGTCCATGTTACCAAAATTTTATTTTAAATATTTCTATATTTTTGCCCGGCAAAGAATGTTAATGCATATTTGATTTTTTTTTCATGTGTTTCCTCCAACTTTTAGGTTTTGATGTAGCAAAAACCGGTGACGCTCGTGTCGGCTTTGTCGGCTTTCCTTCTGTAGGAAAGTCTACACTGCTAAGTAACCTTGCAGGTGTATACTCTGAGGTTGCTGCCTACGAGTTCACCACTCTAACAACAGTACCTGGAGTCATTCGGTATAAAGGTGCTAAAATTCAGGTACAAGAGTTTCTGCTTTCTTCAAAATCTGGAATATTGTTCATGCTGTGGTGAGGTTTAAGTTATTTGCTTATATTTTTCTTTTTCTGACTTTGTCCTTTTTAGCTCCTGGATCTCCCAGGAATCATTGAGGGCGCCAAAGATGGAAAGGGCAGAGGCCGACAGGTCATCGCAGGTAATGTTTGATTACAGTGGAATCTGCTTGGAGGGAAATACAATGGCAGCTAGAGCAGGGCGATATGACCAAAAGTATTTATCACGATATACATTTGAAAATTTGCGATAACGATATAACTGACAATATAATTGACACTAGACAAAATACTTTACAACTACACAACTTTATTAGTGCAAAAAACCCCAATGTATTTTCACTTAAACGAACAGCTGTTTTTTATGTGTATTAAAGTTATATAAAAACTTAACAGTGCAAATGCAAATTCCTTGCTGACAGTTTAACCAAAAGCCATTTCCAGTGGAAATTGGCCGACATATCCTCAGCATAACCATGTATAATATCCACAAAACTTAAAAAGAGGTTATACATACACATTAC